TGATTATCAATTTGAGAAAAGTTGATGATCCTCTTATGCAACTTCCAGTTACAATCAATAAAATGTGCAGTCAAGACCATATAATTGATATTTTGACAAGATGTCCCAGTATTTGTTGTAAGTGAAATTCTATACCCTTCATTCACCAAAAGTTCTTTAATTTCTTGTTTTTTACTAGCATATATTGCTAAAATATCCTTAGCAATTGTAGTTCGAGAAGGGAGAACAAACTTCGGTTCTAATAAACTGATGGTCCCCTCTATGAATCTCTTAGAACCTTCACTCTCCACAAATTTAAAAGACAATTCATCAATAATGATCATCTCAGCAATGAGCTTTCTTGCATTCTCTACACTAAAAGCTACGCATTTTAGTGAGATGTTTACTCCTACATTCTCACTATTTTTAAACACCAGTTTTTGTTGAGACGCATCTTTCTTCTTCACATAGGGGCTCTTTTTACAATAACTCTCAATATGTAATCTCATCGTTCCTGTCCCGTTTCTTTTTGCATGACATGCATATATGGTATCACAATAATTACATTTGGCTTGTGGTTTATTCTCAGTACAATCAGGCAATCTAGTAAAGTGATCCCATACCATTGAAGTTCTTTTCCGCCTTTTTTCGAGAGGTGGAGGTGGCATCTCACCAATTTCATCCATATCGTCATTCTCATCCTCGCAACAATCACGTCTACTTTCTTCGTTCCGTATTGATTTTGACATGATATATACTCTATTTTTCTATCACCTGTGACAATTGACAATTTGGGAAAAAAAATCAAGTAAGTTTTTATTCTAATTAGTAACTTCTAACTAAGTTTAGAAGTTAAAATTTAAAACATCAAAATTTAAAACCCAATTTCTATTTTATATCCTTCATCAAAATTTAGAAGTTTTAGGCTTTAGCAATATTATTTTCTTACCCAAGTCAAGTGCTGATTGTTTGTGATTGTTGAATGCTGAGTGTCGACCCAAGGTGAACAGCATAATGAGAAGTCGGAAGGAAGTTTAGAATGGAGAAGATTTCACTAAGCAGTACAATGCACAACGTACAATGCACTACCCTTACCCTACCAACACGTAGAAGTTCATAACGGCACTATGGCAGAAGGAAGTTCGAGGCTTTGAGCGACGGAATGAGAAGTCGAGAATGATAAGGATGGAAGATTTGATTTCATGAGGGATAATTGATATTAGAAAATAAAATAAAAGTCAAATAAATAATATCTTTTCAATTTAGATTAAAATGTGTATTTTCCTTCTCAGTTTTCAAATTGAAATCTTTGAAATCTTCACTGGCTATTTTGTAATTTTGTTTCGCTGAAATCGGGTAAGGTAAGTAATATAATACGTAATAGGAAATTAGGAATAGGATTGTTTAAATTTAAATTGAATTAGAAAACAGAATCTCCACTCCACCACGGATTCACCTATTCACCGCTGACGACACAGGCACAGGGCGGCCCACCAAGCGGAATTGCAGACTCGTGGAATGGAACGGAAACAGAGCAGGAGAATTAAAAAAAAAACATAAAAGAGACGAGTCGGTTCGGGTGTGGACAGTTTTGTACTGCCAAACCTGCACCCGAATCGAAGATCATCGGTTTACTGCAAAAGCAAGCGAACCCGACAAACCGACCCGAACAGAAACCGAGCAGACTTCGATTTCGGGCGGTTTAAGAGGTTTGGGCGGTTTAGTCGGTTTTTTGTTGCACCCCTAGTCTTTATTTACACCAGAAGATTCAATTAAGTTAGCTTTAACTGAATTGACAAGTTTAGAGATAGCTTATCATTTTGTCTATTGACTTCTTCTGTGCGCATATGACAAATCAATTCTTGTAAGGTCAGATCTTTCTTCTTGTATATCAGATGATGGCGATAATCACTCCAGGAAGGTGGAAAATTTTCAAGCAGCACATTTGCCTAGACGATTTCACACATTTTCATGCCCTTAGATAAAACATTAGCTACCAAATTCTCGTACTCGTGAACTTAATCGATAATTGATTTGCCATCTGCCATTTGAAACTGCAGCCATTTGCCAACCACATACTTCTTTCTCCCAGCATCGTCTACACCATATCTTGACTCTAGAGTGTCCCAAATAATCTTTGCAGATTTTTGAGCAACGAAAAGATAAAATAATGAGTCATTTATATGGTTGAGGAGATGCTCGCGGACAGTCTTGTTATCCTTCTCGAATTTATTGGCGGCATCAACAGCGGCAGTGTCCGATGACAGCTCCGACGACATTTCCCGTGGCTCCAGCGACAGTTCCAGCGGCGGCAGCGACGACGACTGTGACGTTGGTGACTGCGATGGTCAGGACGTAGTCTACCTCCAATTGCTCGAAGAAGATGAGCAGCTTCTGAGACCAGCAACGATAATTTGATCCATCCAATGATTCGAGTTCGGACAAGTCGGGGAGTACCTTGCCGAATCTTATTAAAGCCATAAATTTTGCTTTCAAATTGTCAGAGCTATATGAGGAAGAAGACGTTGTTGTGTCGTGGAACCCACTGCCTTGAAAGCAAAATTCGGCACGACCATTGTGCTAAATCGTTAATTGTCAGTTGCTTCCCAAGGTTAACACAACATCTGAATTCAGGCGTGGACTCGCTGAAAGACGGATAGAAATTAGCTCAGAACAAACTTGAAAACAAAAAATGGAAAGGGAATTGAGAGAGAATTAAAAAGAGAGAAGAATGTTATTGACAATGGTGTGTCTGGTAAATGAAAAGAGTGCGGGTATATATAAGCTTGGATGGAAACCATTTTTCCTCACATTATTATTTTAAATAATAATAAAAGGTAAAATACTCACCACTAATGTTAAAATCGCTCACGAAATGACCGGCCATAAGGAGGAAAAGCGTTTACAAAATCAAAATGAAATCCCAACTATTTTACTAAGTCGAATTTGAATTTGATTTTAATGGGCATAGTGTGGGTGGATCAAAGTGGCCCAAATGCCACCGCTATGCCACCGCTATTCTAACAGTCACCAAATTATTATTATTATTATTAATTTTGTAAAAAGTAGTGGACCACCAAACATATTTTGTAACAAAAATTATTATTATTATTTTTTTTCCTTTTTACATTCCTAACAATCATTGTCACACTCAATCGCCGTCCAGATCGATACCGCACGTGTTCCTCTTGAAAAAGGTGTAAGGTACGATTGGTTGGTGATTAGAAAACAAAAATCTGAAAAGCTTGTTAGCTCAGAAATCATTTTTTAAATTAAGTACATCAAGAAAATCATTTTTTAAACATTTTTTTTCTATTTAATTAAGAAAATTTCAGGCTTGAATGCAAATAAAGAATAGCAGAGACGTTGATGATTGATGAAGGGTTTGTTTGAGAGAAGAATGTTTTTCTTTTTAGAAAAGTTTGATGCTTTTGTTTTCAGAACTCTCTTTAATAACTATGATTAGGTTTCTTGTAAAAATTAAGGTCACTTTCCACTAAAATCACCACTCATAAGGCCATGCTTTCTATAGGAAGAACAACTTTTGTTGTTGTAAAAAATCAACCTTTTAGCTATCTGAATGTGTTTTTGTTTCAAAGAAAGATACCTAAACTCAAACAAGTATATTATAGAGTCCTCATTATATATAAATTTAGAAAAATGTCAAATTTTGGATAATAATGAATAATAGAGAGTGAAAGATGGAATAGGCCTGGTAAAGATCAGTAAAAAAGTTGTTAGAACTAAAATTTGGGTACATGACAAAAGTTACAAACCTGATTTATCTAATCATTTTGGGGAAAAAAAACAAGGTTACAAACTCTCTCTCTCCGAGTGATGTAGGAAACTTAAACATAGATTTTCTCTACATAAATAATTAAAACTATCCTTTAAGCATTCCCGGCTAAAATCTTGGTGAGAGAGTTGAAATTGAAAGAGTCAATCCGATGAACTTTCTTAACTTCAGCGTCTTGATTTGTCAATAACTCTGTCCTCTTAGTCTCAGGATTATACAAGATTAAATAGAGTCCAGCAAGAAGACACAAGATCTTTCCATCTTCACAAGCTCTGATAAGTTGAAGGTGACATGGACGATGATGCTCTGGTAGGAGCACATCAAATGCTTTAATCCATGAAAAATCTTCTTCCATCTTCCACACATATGGTAACCGACATCTGGGATGGACAGAGTTAGATAGAGAGTGTCATTAAAGACTCCAATTATACAAGAACCCTCGCCATAATGGGGAATAAAAATTTCTTGGAATTTGAATTCCTCATCTTCTATATCCAAACGGTATATGACCTTCGTATCAGGTTGTCGTAGGCCATTTCCAACCCAATAGAGACCTCCATCGAAGTAAACACCATGGTCTTCCCATCTTATTAAAGGAGGCACAAAACCAACATGGGTCCATTTTCCATTTGTGCCAAATGCAAAAATTTCCACTAAGATAGCAAATTTATCATAGGCAAAGGAGAGTCTTGCTAATTTGTAGTGTTTTGTTTTAGGACTAAACCCAAATCCATAATGATATAGACGTATAACCCTATCCGCGTTCGAGATGGGAGGTTTGAAGTACTCATTTGTCATGGGATTTAATATGAAAACTTCACCTTCACAAGGTAGTAGTGTTTTGGTGGGTCGTCCACGGTCAAAATAACAACAGAGGAGTCCATTGCAAAAATTGATGATTGAGATATCAGCAGAGGACAAATCAGGATGGAAACTAAATGAGGCAACACTGCTCATCCCTTGTTTAGGATCCAAGTCCACACAATGGAGCTTGCGAAAAGGAGAARTATGGGCAAAAAACAGACTGGAAATTGAGATTGGAAGATCAAACTTACAAGTTAAGACGAGATTGTTCCATACTTTACACACGAGCCGACAACTGGGCAAATTCCCGGAGGGAAGTTTCAACAATATTAGCTTTATCAACTCAGGTTGGAGTGGAAGCTCCGAATTTATGTTGCTTTTCCTCTTCTTCTCCATCTTCGAATTCATCATCTTACTTCTTCAACAAAAGTCCAGTGGCTGCCGGCACTGTTTAGGGCTTCATCTTTTTTTCTATTTATAACTAAAAAAAAMMA